TGGAATCTAGACATCACTGGTGGTGGTGGTGATGGTTTAGTGGTTAGGTCGAATCCAACTCTTGTGACCCCATGGACTGTAGCCTGCCAGGCTCCTCTGTCCATTGACTCCTTCAGGCAAGAATACTGGAGTGGGTTGCCATTTCCTTCTCCAAGGGATCTTCCCGACCCAGGAATCGAATCCGGGCACTAGCCAGCTCCTAAAGTTTCTTCCAGCTCTTAGAAACACTTTTCTCAGCTAAAGAAAAATATCAAATGGATTATTTACCTGAGAGTGCTTAGAAAAATGTAAAATATTTCCAGGATGCACTATAGCATTATAACTGAATTAATAAAAATCTCATATAGTCAAAACTACTCATGTAAACCCTATAAAATTACATAAAAGGTAACAGAATACATGATATATTAGTATATATTGGTATACTTGTACCAATATATATAATAGTATATATTGTATATACTTGTAGTATATATTGGTATACTTGGACAGTAATATACACATTTAAATGTATGAAATATGTAATACTATAAGATAAATGGGTCTTCCCTGGTGGCTCAGATGGAAAGGTTTTTTTTTTAAACAGAGATGGTAGAATGAAAACATGCCTATAGTTGTAGTCATGTGAGTTAAATCTTTAAAGAATGTAGCTCCTGATGGAAAGAGTTGTATTATGAGTACATCTGTATTCATTCTAGATGAAGAAGTGAAGTGAAAGTCACTCAGTCATGTCTGACTCTTTACAACCCCATGGGCTATTCGGTCCATGGAATTCTCCAGGCCAGAATACTGGAGTGGGTAAGCTTTCCCTTCTTCAGGAGGTCTTCCCAACCCAGGGATCAAACGCAGGTCTCCCGCATTGGAGGCAAATTCTTTGCCAGCTGAGCCACAAGGGAAGCCCATTCATTCTAGATAAACTGTGTCTTTTCCTAGTAGTCATCCATTCATTCAAGCCACAAATATTTACTGATCAATTACTGTGTGCCAGGAAACAGTCTGGGGATTCAGTGATGAATGTCTTATTGATGAAGATCATAAACAAAAAATATTTTATATATTACATATAACATATGATGTGGGTAGTGAAATGAGCTTTGAGGAAAATAAAGCAGAGTCAGATGGGGCTAGAGAGACAGGGGTGGTGCTTCCCAAGAGAGAGTGGCCAAGGAAGTCATCCCAAAGGCAGTTTGAGGACAGACCCAGATGAATCTGGTGACAGGGTGAGAAGGTGGTGCCCAGTACAGTGAAGGGAGGAATCCCCATGTACAAGTGTATTGCAGAAGCTGAAGGTGTCCCTTGTGGAGAAGACGATTAGTTTTTAGGAGATAGGTTATGACCACTGCCTTCAAATATCTGAAGAATAGTCACATAGAACAGTGTCTTTTAACCTTTCTGACTGTGATCCATGGTAAGAAATGTATTTTATATTGTGACCCAGCACATATACATATTCACGTAACAAAAACTTCACAAAAGACTGTTAAGCTGTGACCTACATTTCAAAACTCACCAATGTGGAAGAGGAGTGAAGCTTATTCTGAGCTGATTCAGGCAGGAACTTTCTAGCAATTAGAACTCTAGCAATTAGAACAGTGAACTGCCTCAGGAATTTTCAGACTGAGTTCTGGGGAACCCCAGCATCCTGGAGAAATTACAATTTGAAAATGCTATGCAATATCCTAGTTTTTATGAGACCGATCATGCAGACTCAGGGGTGATCAATGTCAACATTTAGCATGCTAACATTTAGTGTGTGCTGCTTTAGAGATTATTAGAGCGGTTCAGAGTAAGCAGAAGTCTGATTCTTCCTCTTAACTTATGGTATGACCTTGAGTAAGTCACATAACCCCTCCCTCTGACCATCAGTTTTCCTATCTGTAAATGGGGATAATACCTCACTGGATTATTTTAAGGATTGTATAAAATATTCTATAAAGGCATCTAGGACTGTTAGGGCTCAAGAAATGACAGCTATTATTTTAAACTGTTAATATATTATCAATGTGCATATATTAAAACCAAATGTTAATAAAATCCTACTGTAGGCCAGGCAGCATTAACTACTTCTTGTGGAGCAAAATATTTAATCCTCACAAGCATCTTAAGAAGAAGGTGCTGTTACCAATCTCAGTTTATCGAGGAGAAAGTGGATTCAACAAGTCAAGTGACTCATCCAAAATCAGAACTATTAAGTGGCAGAACCCAGGACTGTTAACCTTGAACACAGGAATGGACACTCTTGATCATTGTGCTGGCCCTCACCTGAGAACTGCATGAACATATGCTGTTGATTAGAAAGGTGGTACATCTTCATTGCTCTTTCTTAGATTCCTGTCATGAGCAGTTATACAAGCAAGTGCACCAGTGAGACACACTTGGGCAGTGCTCCGTTCACACCAGGGCTGTGCCTTCTCTCATCCTGGCTTCACAGGTATGCAGTAAGGAGGCTGGAAAGCATAGTGTTGTCTTTGGGTGGTAGGAATGGATTGTTTTTTTAATCTTTTAAACTTCTTATCTTTCCCCAAACTGGACAATATGCACATATCACCATTGTCATAGGAAGGTTTAATTATTTTTCTAATCACCTACAATTCTAGCACACTAACACCTTAAAAAAATTACAGCTTTATTGCAGCCAGGGAAGTAGATGGTTCTTACCAAGACAACAATAGTGTACTGAAAGGGAATAAGTGAATAGTGGCTGCTTTTATAGACCCTAAAAGAGATTCTGATACTGAAGTAGTGATTGTGCTGTGATCAATACTGACTTATTTCTGTTGTTTTAAATTTCTTTGACTGTTTTGCCAATAATTATATTAAATAGTTAGTACAGATTGTCAACCAAAAAAGATTGAGAATTGCTGCTGTGAGGGTGATGGAATAAAGTGAAGAATAAATACTGAAGGACCAAAGAATTGGTAAAGCTTAACATCATTTATTCCATCCTTCATTCATTAGTATTTATAAATGATGTAAATTACTTAGGGGGGATAAAAAGATGAACAAAATAAAACTCAAGTCTGTTTACGAAAGATTAACTCTGTGAAACGCTTCTGCCGTTAACGACTGAAAACGGGCAAACACATGAAGCATAGCTTTTAGACACTGAACAACAAGGCCCTCAGTTCAGTAATCCCTGAGAGAAGAAAAATAAGGTGAGCCCCGCAACTACTCCAGCTAATGCTGGAGAGAGTTTCTAGGCCACAGTTCAGGGACAGGGAGACCCACGCGAAGTCCGGCTCTCTGAGCTAGGGAGATAAAAGTCAGGACTCAGGGAGAGCAAAGAGGCTGGAATTTACAGGTAACGGACAGGCCTGCACAGAAAAAGGAAGAGAAAAAGGAAGAGAAAGAATGGACACATGCACGCGAAGGCCCTAAGACTGGGGAAAGAGCCACGGAGAGCAGGGCAGGCCCAGGAATCGTCCACACGCGCACCTCTGCTCCTTATGCCTCCTCCCGCTTAGGTCCCCACCGAGTACTGTGTAGGGCTCCGTGTGCCGCACGTAGGTGCTCACTCGGCTTCCGTTTTACATATAGTGGCGATCGTGTGTCAGCTCCAGTCGCCTAGCTCAGCCCGTCGCCTGAACAATTTCTGGGTCTTTCTTCCACAGAACTGGGACTACTCGATGTTCCCGCAAACCAGAATACAGAGACACTACATTAGATGAGGATTGATTGGGTAGAGTCCATAGAAACATCATGTCTTAGTAGTGGAGATAATTATTCTCAGAATAAAAACTGCTCTGGATTCACTACGTGTGAAAGTGAAAGTCACTCAGTCGTGTCCGACTCTTGGCAACCCCACGGACTGCAGCACACCAGGCTTCCCTGTCCTTCGCCATCTCCTGGAGCTTGTTCAAACTCATGTCCATTGAGTCAGTGTTGCCATCCAACCATCTCGTCCTCTGTCGTCTCCTTCTCCTCCTGCCTTCCTGCCTTCGATCTTTTCCCAGCATCAGGGTCTTTCCCAGTGAGTCAGCTCTTCACATCAGGTGGCCAAAGTTTAATGGAGCTTCAGCTTCAGCATTAGTCCTTCCAATGAATATTCAGGTATGATCTCCTTCAGGATAGACTGGTTGGATCTCCTTGCAGTCCAAGGGGCTCTCAAGAGTCTTCTTCAACACCACAGTTCAAAAGGATCAATTCTTTGTCATTCAGCCTTCTTTATGGTCCAACTCTCACATCTATACGTGACTCCTGGAAAAACCATAGCTTTGACTATACAGACCTTTGTTGGCAAAGTAATGTCTCTGCTTTTTAATATGTTGTCTACATTTGTCGTACCTTGTCTTCCAAAGAGCAAGCATCTTTTAATTTAAAGTTAATGAGGTTTACCAAATGTGTTGGTGAGGATGTGTAGCAATTGTAACAAATTACTGACACATGCAACCACATGGGAGAATCTCAAAACCATTGTGCTAAGTGAAAAAAAGAGACACAAAATGGTATATACTATGTAATTACCCATATATGACATCTGGAAAAGGCTACTGTTGTGACAGAAAGCAGAGCAGTGGTTGCCGGATGCCAGAGTTGGGGGTTGGATATTGAGTGCAAAGAGACATAGGGAGCTTTTTGGGGAGATGAATATATTTATATTTTAATTTTGGTGGTATTTTACACAATTGTAAACATTCACCAAAACTTAGAATTGTGCACTTTGAATCAATGCATTACCATGTATGTGAGTTATATCAATAAGATAAATGTGTAAAATTCAAGCCTCAGGAACTCTGTAAACAATACCAACAAAGAACACTTCGACTTCCTACTATAGGCAGTGCAATGTGGGATTTAGGGTCGTAGAAGTTGGTAAATCCCAGCCTCTACGCACAAGATTTCTGTTTACCCAGCAAATACAACAGAACCCAATTAACACAATTAACAAAATCGTGAAATGATTCCTACATATGCTGTATTTTGCTGTTTCAGGTGCTTAGAAGAAGATGTAGTCAAATTTTTCATCAAAAAAATGGAACGTATCACAGAACTTTGCTAAGATGGACACACAAAAAGACCAACACTCCGGCAAAAAATATTCCAGAAAGGCTAAGAAAGTCCAAAAAGGTCTAGTGAACTTTTTAACAGCGGTCTCTGGGAGGGGAGGGGCAGGCTCCTGACGTATGTTCATTTCAATATGCAAGAGCAAATTTTAGGGGAATTTTAAGTGCTGCTTTATACCCGTAAGGCTGTTCTTGAGGATATCAAACAGATTGCTTTAGTCATCCCTCCACTGCTTCGAGGGTGATGCCTGGAAAGAAACTATGAGAAGAAAGGATGGAGGGGAGAGGAGGAAGAGATCTTACTTTATTTCCTAAAACTTAACCCAAGCCCCCACTGTGCTGGGTTGTTGGAAAGTTTGACACAGATGACTTGTTTCAAGTTTTCCATCTTTCTCAGTGGAGAGAGGTGATGTGGTCATGGGTCACCCATGCAGATGGGTGGGGGATGCTTTGTCTCAGCCCATGTACTCCTCTGCTTTTGTTAGTACGCACTAATCCTGGACTACACCTGGACTTGGGGAATCATGGCCGAGGCTGCACATTTTGACATCCTCACTCACTCCACCACTTTTTCTTTTGGGGGAAGGGAAGTGGGTGGTGGTTATTACCAGTTACCTGGTGGGCTTCTGCAGTCTCTGCTGCTCTCAGATCCAGAGCTGGACCTTTCTTCCTGCTTCCCATCTTTTGATTTATTGCTGTCTCTTTTTCTTGAATACTTTCAAATTGAAGCTTCATGTATATTCAGAAAATAAATCATAATGGTACAGCCTAATGGTCACAAAGAAACCACCACTTACAGAGTCACTTCTCAGACCCAGAAACAGACACTCCACAGCATCCCAGGAGCCCTTGTCCCTTCATGGGCACTGTCCCTCTTCTCTGCAAGTGTCAACACCATAGCTCACCTGACTTTTAACATCATTAATCACTTTATCATTTTAATATCATTAATTACTTTAGTCTGTTTTGAACTTCCTATAAATCGGAATCATACAGTATGAACTCGTCTCTCAGGCTTTTTTCTTTCATGTTATGTTTTGAGAGATATAACTTCGTGTTTCATGCTATCAGTAATTAGCTCATTTTCATTGCTGTGAAGTTTTTCTTTGACTGAATGTACCATAATTTGTTTATCCTTTATACTATCGAAGGACATTTGGATTGTTTCCAGTTTTGAGCCATGACTAAAAGCTTTTGTGACTATGCTTGTTTTTGTCTTTTGGGACATACGTGTATATTCTCTTTGGGTCTATACCTAGGAGAATTGCTGGGTCATAGAGAGTGTCTATGATCAGCTTAGTTGATACTACCAGTTTTCCAAAGTGGATGTGCCATTTTTACTTCCTTGCAGAATTCCAGTTGCTCCACATCGTCACCATCATTTTTAGCTCATAATGCTTTTAATCTGTATTGTCCTTCGGTCATTAAGATTGAGCACTTTTTCATATGTTGGCTTATCTTTAGGATATTCTCTTTGGAGAAGTGACTGTTCAGTTTTTTCTATTGGGTTTTTCTTTTCTTAGGTGTTCTTAAAAACATACTAGAAATACATCCTTTTTGTCTATATGTAAATACCTTCCCTGAGTCTGTGACTTTCCTTTACATTCTCTTCAGTTCAGTTCAGTCGCTCAGTTGTGTCCGACTCTTTGTGACCCCATGGACTGCAGCACTCTAGGCCTCCCTGTCCATTGCCAACTCCCAGAGTTTACTCAAACTCATGTCCATTGAGTCCATGTTGCCATCCAACCACCTCATCCTCTGTCGCCCCCTTCTCCTCCCACCTTCAATCTTTCCCAGCATCAGGGTCTTTTCAGATGAGTCAGTTCTTCCCTTCAGGTGACCAAAACATTGGAGTTTCAGCTTCAGCATCAGTCCTTCCAATGAATATTCAGGACTGATTTCCTCTAGGATGGACTGGTGGTGTGCTAATAAAGAGAAGCTCTTGATTTTACTATAGCCCATTTTATTAATATCAGTATTTCCCCTTATAGTTAGTGTATGAAAGTGAAATTGTTGCTTAGTCGTGTCTAACTCTTTGCAATCCTATGGACTGTAGCCTGCCAAGGCCCCTCTGTCCATGGAATTCTCCAGGCAAGGATACTGGAGTGGGTAGCCATTCCCTTTTCCAGGAAATCTTCCCAACCCAGGAACTGAACCTGGGTCTCCCTCATCGCAGGCAGATTCTTTACCATCTGAGCCACCAGGGAAGCGCCATAGGTAGTGTATGCGTCTGTCCGATTTAAGAAATCTTTGCCGATCTCAAGTTTTTTTCTAATAACTGTATTATTTGCCTTTCATATCTAGACCTATGATTCACTTGGAGTTGTTTGTGTGTATGATATGAAAATGTGCAAATCTATTGTTTTCAATATGTATATCTAATTGCCCAGCACCATTGATTGAAAGAGCATTCTTTTTCATCCACTCTGCATCGCCATCACTGTTGTAAACCGTGTCTATGTATATGCAGGTCCGCTTCTATGTTCTTTAGGCTGTTCAAATACCACCCTTAATTACTATAACTATATAACAAGCTTTTTTTTTTTAATCTAATAGCATAAGTCCTTCAACCATGTACTATATTTATCGTGGCTACTCTTGGCTGCACTGAATTTCCACATACGTTTTATTTATTCATTTACGGCTACTCTGGGTCTTGGTTGCTCTGCGTGGGCTTTCTCTAGTTGTGCTGAGTGGTGGCTGTTCTTTAGTTGTGGTGTGCAGGCTTCTCATTGGGGCGGCTTCCTAGGGAGCACTGGTTTGGGCTCAGTATTTGCAGCGTGGGCCCAGTCGCTCAGCGGCTCGTGGGATCTCAGCTCCCAGACCAGGATTGAACCCGTGTCCGCTGCAGTGGCACGTGGATTCTAAACCACCGGACCACCAGGGAAGTCCCTCCATATAAACTTTAGAATCAGCACATTAATGTTCTAAAGAAAATCCCTATTGCCTTTTTGATTTAGATTGCATTGATTCTTGAAGTCAAGTTAGGGATAATTTACATCTTTACAGCACTGAATTCTCCAATCCATGTATATCCTTTCTTTTATTTAAGTCTTCTTAAATTTTTCCCAATGTTTTATAGTTATCTGTGTAGAGGACTTGCATATCTTCTATATATCTGTTCTAAGCATTTTATTTTTATACCATTGTAAATGGTACTATTTTTATTTCATTTTCTAATTGCTTGCTGCTGGTATCGAAATAAAATAAATTGATTTTTTTTGTATACTGACCTTACCAAATTCAGTTATTATGTTTATTGTTTCAGTTATTATGTTTAATACATTACCTACAGATTCTTTTGAAATTTCTCCATATACAATCTTATCATCTATGAACAAAGGCAGCTTTATTTCCTTCTTTTCTCATCTTATATATTTTTATTTGTTTTTCTCAACCTCTGCACTGGTTAGAGTCCTTCAGGACAATGTTGAACAGAAGCAGTCAGCCTGGTTTCATGCGCTATCTCAAGAGAAATCTTTCAGAATCATGTTTGCTATAGGCTTTTGTCATCAATACCCTTTATCAGATTAAGGAAATTTGCTTCTTTTCCTAGTTTGCTAGGGTTTTCTTTTAATCATAGAACACTGAGTTTTATAAAACGCTTTCTCTATCTACTAAACAGACACTTTCAGTTCAGTTCAGTCACTCAGTCGTGTCCAACTCTTTGTGACCCCATGAACCACAGCACGCCAGGCCTCCCTGTCCATCACCAACTCCCGGAGTTTACCCAAAGTCGTGTCCATTGAGTCAGTGATGCCATCCAATCATCCCATCCTATGTCGTCCCCTTCTCCTCCTGCCCTCAATCTTTCCCAGCATCAGGGTCTTTTCAAATGGGTCAGCTCTTTGCATCAGGTGGCCAAAATATTGGAGTTTCAGCTTCAACATCAGTCCTTCTGATGAACACCCAGGACTGATTTCTTTTAGGATGGACTGGTTGGATCTCCTTGCAGTCCAAGGGACTCTCAAGAGTCTTCTCCAGCACCACAGTTCAAAAGCATCAATTTTTCTGCGCTGAGCTTTCTTTATAGTCCAACTCTCACATCCATACATGACTACTGGAAAAACCATAGCCTTGACTAGACAGACCTTTGTTGACAAAGTAATGTCTTCTGCTTTATAATATGCTGTCTAGACACTTTACCACACACAAAAAAGGATAAAAAAATAACAGTTAGCATATGAAGAGATGCTCAGCATCATTAGCCAATCAGTTCAGTTCAGTCGCTCAGTTGTGTCCGACTCTTTGCAACCCCATGAACCACAGCACACCAGGCCTCCCTGTCCATCACCAACTCCTGGAGTTTACTCAAACTCATGTCCATTGAGTCGGTGATGCCATCCAACCATCTCATCCTCTGTCGTCCCCTTCTCCTCCTGCCCTCAATCTTTCCCAGCATCAGGGTCTTTTCAACAGTTAGCTCTTCGCATCAGGCGGCCAAAGTATTGGAGCAAATGCAAATTAAGGCCACAATAAGATGCCTTTACACACGTAATGGAATGGCTGGAATTTGAAAGACTGCCCATTGTCACTGAGGATATGAAGTAAAAGTAATTCTTATACACTAATAGTGGAGATGTACAAAAGTGCAGCAAATTTAGAAAAGAGTTTGGCAGTTTCTTAAAAAGTTAAAGTTATGAAAGTGTGTTGGTTGCTCAGTTGTGCCTGACTCTTTGTGACCCCGACTGTAGCCCACCAGGCTTCTCTATCCATGGGATTCCCCAGGCAAGAATACTGGAGTGGGTTGCCATTCCCCTCTCCAGGGGATCTTCCCGACTCAGGGATCAAACCAGGGTCTCCTTCATTACAGGCGGACTCTTTACTGTCTGAGCCACAAGGAAGCCCCTCCCCCCCAAAATGTATAAGCATCCAGACCAAAAAAAGTACATATTATGTGATTCCGTTCTGCATCTGTGGAGATGATCATATAGTTTTTCTTTTCTAGTTTGTCGACATGGTGAATTACATTGATTTTCAAATGTTAATCTATCAAATGAGGGATGAACCTCATTTGATCATGGCATATCATCTTTCTTGTATACTGTTGAGTTTAATTTGCTAACATTTTTATAAGAATTTCTGCATGTATATTTATGAGAGTTAATGATCTATAATGATTCCCCCTCACCTCCTGTAGTGACTCTGTCTGGTTTTGGTATCGGGGTAACAAGTGGCCTCATAGAATGAGTTGGGAAATATTTTTTCTGTTCAGTTTTCTAGAAGAGATTGTATAGAACTGATAGGTGAAGTGTTCTATGAATGTCAGTTAGGTCAAGTTAGGTAATAGTATTGTCAAGTCTCATATATCTTTATTCATCGTCTATCTACTTGTTTAAATTATTGAGGGAAGGATTTTGAAACCTCTGACAAGTATTGTGGATTTTCTATTTCTTCCTGCAGTTCTATCATTTTTTATTTCCTGTATTTTGAATGTCTTGTTATTGAGTATACCAGAGTTTAGAACTGTTATATTCATTTTTGGAATTGAATGCTTTATCATTATGAAATTACTATACCCTCTTTATTGCAGGTAATATTTTTTGCTCTGAAATCTGCTTTGTCTGACATTAATATCTAGTTTTGTTTTGATAGGATAGTGTACCTTTTCCTCATACTTTTAACCTAATCCTGGGTTTATATCAATATTTAGTCTGTTTCTTGCAGGCACTGTGTAGTTGGGTCTTTCTTTTTTATTGATCTCAACCATCTCTGCCTTTTAACTGGGATGTTTAGACTTTAAATTTAATGTGATTATTGGTGTGTGAGCTTAATCCTACCATCTATTAGCTTTCTATTTGTCTCATCTGCTCTTTTTTATAATTTTTTAGAAAGATCTTGGTTGCGCTGGGTCTTTGTTGTGGCGTGCGGGCTTTCTCTGGTTGTCATGAGGGGACTTCTCCGGCTGCAGAACACAGGCTCTAGGGCACTCAGGCTCAGAATTTGGAGTAGACAGGCTTAGTTGCCCCAGAGCATGTGGGAATCTTAGTTCCCCAACCAGCGATCCCCATATCTCCTGCACTGGAAGTCTGATTCTTAACCACTGGACCGCCAGGGAAATCTCAGTCCCATCTGTTCTTTATTTACATTTTCTGGATGTTTTTGTATTGAATATTTGTTTGTTTGTTTCTATTTCCTTCCTTTGTTGGCGTTTTAGGAACAACTCTGCAGTGTTTTCATAGTGTTGCTTTGGAGCAAGGATTGCAAACTTTGGCCACTTGGGCCTAATCAGACATGCTGCCTGTTTCTATAAGTAAAATTTTATTGGAACACAGTTACGCCTATTTGTTTATGTGCTGTCTGTGACTCTTTCAGTCTATAATGGCAGAGTTGAATGGCTGCAACAGAGACTATACAGCCTTAAATATTTACTATCTGGCCCTTATAGAAAACGTTTGCTGATCTGTACTACAGAGTTTATAACATACATCTTCAATTTTATCAGATTCTACCATCAAGTGATATTATTACACTTCATGTACAGTAAAGAAACTTACAACAGTAAATTTTTATTTTTTCCTTCCTTGCCTTTGAACTGTTGTTGTCAAATTTCTGCATACATTATAAATGCCACAGTATTTTTGCTTTAAATAGGCAATTAGTTTAGAAATGATTCAAATATTTACATCTAAATGTATCCATTTATACTCAAGATTCTACATTTTACATTTACCTACATATTTACTATTTCCAGCACTCTTCATTCTTTTTTGTAGTTCCAGATTTCTGGCTGGTATCATTTTTCTTTTGTCTGAAGGATTCCTTTCATTTCTTATAGCTCCAGTTTGCTGGTGATTAATTCTTTCAGTTTTTGTGTATCTTCAAAAATCTTTATTTTGCATTCATATTTAAGACATATTTTTTACTGGGTACAGGATTCTAGAGTGACAGTTTTTCCCTTCTGATATTTTACAAAAGTTGTTTCTGACAGTAAATATATTTGTTCCTTTGTGTATAATGTGTCTTTTTTTTTCTTCTGCCTGATTTTAAGATTTTCTATTTCTTTTAAAAATCAATTTGATTATTAGTTGCCTTGGTCTAGTTTAATTCTTATTTAATGTGCTTGAGGTTCACTGACTTTCTTGGGTCTGTGGGTTTATTTATATCAAATTTGGAAAATTTCAGCCACTTTTTTCTTGAAATATTTTTTTCTAGTTCCTCTCTCCCACCTTGCTTCTTTGGAGAGCCCAGGTACATGTAGATTAGTTCCTTGACATTTCCACATAGCTCATTGATACTCTATTTTTTTTATTTTTTATTTTTGGTCCTTTTTCTCTCTGTGTTTTGTTTTGGATAGTTTCTATTTCAACATCTTCAAGTTCACTCATCTTTTTTTCTGCAGTATCTAGTCTACTGTTAATCTTATCTTGTGGTGGTGGTTTAGTTGCTAAGTCATGTGCAACTCTTTTGACTCCATGGATTGTAGCCCACCTGGCCCCTCTGTCCATGGGATTTCCCAGGCAAGAATAATGGAGTGGGTTGCCATTTCCTTCTCCAGGGGATCTTCCCAACCCAGGGATCAAACCCAGGCCTCTTGCATTGGCAGGTGGATTCTTTACTGACTGAACCGCCAGGGAAGCCACTTATCTAGTGTATTTTTAATCTCAGACTTTTCAGTTTTCACACTCAGGAGTTTGATTTGGGTCTTCTTTATATCTTCCATGTACCTTCTTAATGTGTTCAATCTTTTTTCTAGCTTCTTGAACATATAGAATATAATTATTATTGTAATAATGTTTTATTAATAATGTAATAATGTTCTTGTATTCTATAATCTATATCATTTCTGAGTTAGATTTGATCACTTGTTTATTTTTTCCTCATTGTGAATTGTATTTTTTTCCTTTGCATGCCCATCAATTTTTTTCAGTCAAATGCCAGATAGTTTTACCTGTTGAGTACTGTATGTTTTAGTAGTCCTATAAATTGTTATGCTTTGTTCTGGAATGCAGTTAAATTACTTGGAAACAGTTTGACCTTTTCAAGTCTTGCTTTTCAAGTTTTGTTAGCTGGAACCAGAGCAACACTTAGTCTAAAGATAATTTTGCCCTGGGTTTCCCAGCTGTTACAGTGGTAAAGAATCCATCTGCCAATGCAGGAGCAACACAAGAGACAAGGGTTTGATCCCTGGGTCAGGAAGATTCCCCTGGAGAAAGAAATGGCAACCCACTCCAGTATTCTTGCCTGGAAAATTCCATGAACGGAGTAGCCTGGCGGGCTACAGTCCATGGGGTCGTAAAGAGTCTGACATGACTGAGCACACAGCACACGACTTTGCCCTCTCTCTGAGGCAAAACCCTTCTGCATCTTTTCCTTCTGCTGCAGGAATGATGGTGTTTTCCACTCTGACTCGTGGGGATGGGAATGGCTGCTATTCCCAGTGTTCAGGCATCACTGTCCCACCCTGAGGTTTTCAGCTGAGTCTTTTCCAGTCTTGCGGAGCTTTCTCACATGCCTGTGCTGATCGACACTGGTCTCCAGAACCCTTTCTCTGCGTAGCTGTCTCTTCTCTGCACCATTTGTGGGGAGTGGGAGGGAGAAAAAGGGTGCGTTTATGTGTCATCGATACCTCACAATTCAGACAGATAAAAACTTAACTTGTTTTCTATAAACGGTCCTCTCCTGCTTTTTCACCCCAAGTCTGCTCAAAGCAGAAACCTAAACTTGTATTTGTCTTGCGTTGCGTCCTGAAGAAGGACAGGGAGCCCCATTCTGAGACTTACCGGCCTCTCAGTATCTTTATGGTGCGTTGCCCACCTGTGACCCTGGGCTGAGGAAGGGTGAAGACTCTCTGTTCCCCTGCCTGGCTTCTCTTCAAGGCTGCCCCAGACGGTTTTGTGTCCACTTCCTCCTTGGCAAGAATGCCTTTCCTGTCAGATCCTTCCTCTTCTCTGGGACAAAATGCTTCAGCTGTGTGACCAAGTCTCACTAGTTTAAGAGCTGGGGGGGTGAGGAGGTGGGGGGGGACACCAAAAAATTACCAAGAGGGTCTTTAAAAAAATCCAGTTTCACGTTTATCTCTTGTCCAAAGGCAAGCTTCTCTTTTATTTCACTTAAAATGTTAACATATAGCTCTGTGTTTTGTGCATGTGTCGTCATTGTTTTGAGCTCATTTTTATTCTCTTTTTATTGTTTAGGTTTCACTGCTGCATATCCAACACAATCCTCCATTCCTTATAAATATCAGCCTTTCGTAATTCCAGAATCAGAAAAAAAGGGATTTAACAGCCAAGCCAAGAGATTTTACCACAAACAGGTAACGAATGGCCTAGTCTTACTCTGAGTCTGGATTTTAGCGCGTCTGCCTTGTGCGTCTGTCTCAGTGATCAGGAGAGGACAGCGTCACCCAAGGAGCGGTAGTGCCCTCTACGCCCATGTGCTCTGACCCGATGGTAACAATGAGCTGACACGATATGAAGTCCAGCGGGAAACAACATGATTTTACTTCATATACCAGAGATTTTTGTATTTTTCATTTTCATAATAATTTCAAAAATACATTTCTCCTTAAAATTTTTTTGGTTTCTTGGGCCATACTAAAACCAAAAAAAATTTAACAAGAAATGTATTTTTTGAATTATTATGAAAATGAAAAATACAAAAATCTCTGGTATATGAAGTAAAAGGTAAAAAATCCTCTCCTCCCTCTCTCCCCAGCCTTATTCAAAACTTGACAGGAACTCACAAGACTTTCTTCAAATAATAAACAAGCTGTGTAGCTCAGATGGCAAAGAACCTGCCTGCAATACAGGAATCCCGGGTTCGATCCCAGGGCCGGGAAGATCCCCTGGAGAAGGGAATAGCTCCCCACTCCAGTATTCTTGCCTAAAGAATCCCATGGACAGACCACGGGGTGGCAAAGAGTTGGACATGACTCAGCAACTAACACACACACACAATAAACGTACATTTACCTTTGTGGTGATACATCCCCTCTTTTCCTTAAGTTGCAACAGTGTGTTATATAATGTTCCTGCATTTCCCCCAGTCTCACCTTCTTCCCCAAATATCTGTGTCTCTTTTCCTCTCTGATCTGGAAGATTCTGCTTGGCTTCTGGGGGAGGTGGTCCCCTGGTAACTTGAAATTTCACCAGCCAAGGCCCAGGCCTGACGTTCTCTCCTCTCACCAGCGGGGGGCGGAAGCAACTCACAGACGCCAGAGTCTTTAAAAATCATTTTTTTATTCTCCTAACTAGGACCTTCAGAATAGCATTCTTTTGGAGGAGTCGTCATGTCAGTTACCTTTCGTTGCATTCTAAAAATGTTTTTCATCCTACCCCCACGGCCACGGTGGCGAGAGGGAACGGGAGGTCTGGGTCCTGAACTTGGATGAGTCCTTTGCAAGCCATGTGCCCTTTGGCCTGTTTCCTCCCTCTTAAGCAAGAGCGCTCAGTTGGAGAATGTTTAAGTTCCTTCCACTTCTGCTATTTTAGGATTCCAAGAGAGCAAATAATTAATATAGTGTGTGTACTTACACACACACACATATTTTTAATTACTTGTAGGTTTTCTCCAAAGGTGATAAATAAGCTATTTATTTACTCATGAGTTTTCTCCCTTCTCTCTTATGTTTTAACTGGCCCTTTGTCTCTCCCTTTTGGTCTGGTTTTCCATTTGTCCATTTACCGAGAATATACTATCCATCTCTCCGATATCAGCAGCCCGACCTCCAAGAGGGAGGGGACACAGGTATACCCATGGCTGATTCATGTTGACCTTTGGCAGAAGACAACATGATTCTGTAAAGCAATCATCCTTCAATTAAAAACAATGAATAAATGTTAAATTTAAAAAAAACAATAGTAGCCACCATTTACCGATCTCTCCTCTGTATAAAATCAGTTTTAGACTGTGTTTCTAATCCTGAGAACAATGCTAAAAGGAAGGGTTTATACTTTTAACAGAAGAGAAAACTGGGGCTTAGGGAAGTTAAATGACCCACCCGAGGTCTCACAATGCAGGATTTGGCACATAAGAGCCCTCACATGAATATTTGCTGAATCAATGTTGAAAGAATTAGATCTCAAACCCAGGCTCAACTCATTCCAAAACCTCACGCTCTGTCTACACATGCCACCACACCTCTCTCTGTGGCCTGCAAAGTCATCAAGTCCATCTATGACAGTCAGCCAGCACGTTTCTGAAAAGGCCTCCCCCGGACAGACCAAGCTCAAAACAGGGGAAGGTGTCACGTGTAGGCCCCATTCCACATGATCACGGTCTGAAGGCTCAAATCCAGAAACGCAAATGGTCTGGTTTTTAAAGTCTGCATTTTCAACTATTATTGAGAAAGTAGAAATTTCTACTTTCTACTTTGTAGAAATTGTTCTCCTGAAGGAATCAAGGTGTCAGCCAGCCAAAGCTATAGGCAGTATCTGATACAGAGAGAAATAGCTCAGAAATTTGATTCATACTTTTTAAACATGGTTGTGTTGTTTCGACAACATGAAAACGTTCATCTAAGCACTTGAAAGCATTTTGTAAATAAGTATGGAACTTTATGAAAAGGGCATGGGATCCATAAACCAGGTCCCCGGAATTCTGTTATTAGCTGCGTGGCTTTAGGCTACTCCCTTGACTTTTTGTGGGCTTCAGTTTCCTCATCTGAAATATACAATTCAGGTTATTGTGATTTTTTAAGTTCTTTAAGCTGTAAAAACAGGAAAAAAAAAAAAAACCTTAATCCACACTCACAGTTCTCATTCTTCCTGAAGAAACTTGAGCATTGAGAAGCTAAGAATCCTGTTTAACATCGCCCAATAATTTAGTGAGGCAATACAAATTAAAAGTAGATTTTAAAACTCCAGTGTCTCACCACCCTTCTTATAACAGTAATTGTACACACCCTGGGCCTGATCTCATAACTTGGTTGTGTCCTCACATCAGTCCTGTGACCCATTTAGCACAACTTTAACGCGGAGAATGAGTACCCTCTGAAACGTGCACTTACCTTAATCAGACTTCTGCAGAGAAACCTCAGGGCGCCCCAGCCCAGCTCGCATTCCCCGTAAGAATCTGACTGCTGGGTACAAGGAATCCTTCCTGGACTCGGTGTCTGGACTGGCAGTTTTGGCTGCTAGGAGTGAAGTCTGCTTCCCCGAACATTTTACAATTATTTACAGACTCTGCATGCATGAAGAGACATGCCTAATCTAGGACCGAGCCTAACCCAGCAACCCGAAGGACACTTTCCTCCCCTGTCTCCCCAGTTCTGTCCCCCTGTCACCATGGGCTGTAGTCACTATTTCCCAAGCTGCCTAACACTAAGGACACCCACTTAAAGTCTTTGCATCTCCATTTCCTCATCTCAAAAATAAGGATGTTATATTAATCATAGGTAGGCCCTTGCCAGGGATTCCTATTCCATAAGCCTAAACTTGATTGATCATTTCCAGGCACAGATGAATGGGTACTGGTGGTATACAGACACCCGTCTTCGGATAGGGTGTGTGTATCCTACCAGTAGCCATGATTTTAAAATATATGTTAATTTCAGAGAGAGCCTGACAGCAAATCCATGCTCCCTGTGGTAAGCAGAACAGTGTTTAATTTGTGATGAAATTATAAAAAGCTAGCACTGTTCACCTTGATAAGGCACCAGACTCGGATATTTCACATGTCAGAGATTTTTCATTGAAAGGAAGTTCAGTTTGCAGAGACCACCATGTTCAGGGGGATAAGCCCCCCACACGTGCTCTTCATTGCATGATTGAAGCTGCAGTGGGCTGTGCCTGACCTTCCTGTTCTGGAAGCCTGCCCTCCACCAGCATCAGTCACCAGCACCCCTTCTTCGGGGGTGTGCAGGACACATGGGTGGGAAGAGCAAACCCTTGGCCGGCACAGACAGCACACCAGGCTCCCCTCGAAGATGTGGCATTTCTGACTTCATTTAATCCCCGTAATCACCATGAACTAAGTCCTACCATGACCCCCACTTTTCAGATAATGAACCCCGAGACATAAAGAGGGTTAAGTAACTTGCATAGCCAGTGTCAGGTGGAGTGAGGAGCACCCAGGCGGCAGGTCCTAGCTCCCAGACTGTTTCCGGGCATCTTTGCAGAGGGTGGGGTCGTGGGAGGGGGAGCAGGGGGCATGGAGGACGCACACCTCCCCTGAACGCCCCCCACCACCTTCGCCTTGGTGGGGCAGTGATGGACGTGTGCATCTTATCAGTGTCCTTTCCAGACTCCAAAGCCCCTCAAAAGTCAGTCAAATGACCCCATCTCAAGTCCAGGCCTTTCTCATCGAGTCAGGGTAACTCACGCCATCCACCTTACATTGTTTTGCCACGTCTCCTCTGTTCTGATTCTAGAACATATGTACGGGCTGCCAACCAGCTGTGCCTATATCCTGGCTTCTTAGCCCAGCCCTGGTCCTCAGCAGGCTTGAGTGTGTGCTTGCTGAATTGAGTTTTTGCCCCCATTCCACTCGGGATTTCCAGGGACTGCTAATGAGCTGACAGCAGATTTAACAGGGAGGCACGCATGCTGTTTCTCAGTCGTGTCCGACCCTTGGCCACCCCACGGACTGTAGCCCACCAGGCCCCTCTATCCATGGGACTCTCCAGGCAAGAATACCGATTTGGGTTGCCATTTCCTTTTCCAGGGGATCTTCCTGACCCAGGGATCGAAACTGTGTCTCTCGTGTCTCCTGCACTGGCAGGCAGGCTCTTTTACCACTGCGCCACCTGGGAAGTTCTAACAAAGAGGAGGGCTCTACAAAAGAGGGGCATGGATGCTCAGAGATAAGGCCCATGTAATCGATGCTTTGAAAATGCAGGTTTGGCTTCTCTTGTCCGTGTCTCCAACCCAGCCGGGCCAGTGATGGGCTAGGAACTTTGATGGCAGACATTAGTGTATGGAGTTGGGAGGAGGTGGGAAGGAAGGGGAAGAAAGCAGAAAAGAAGAAGGGTGTCTTACAAGAGGCACATCTCAGAATTGTAGACAATTTGAACCAGAAGGTCTTCAGTGACCCCTGAATCTCTGGGCACAGCAGAGGGGCCCCATCTGTGATAGTATCCCATGCTGATGCCCTTTGGTGGAGCAGGTAAAAAGGAATTGCTGCTGCTTTTTTTTTTTAATGATTTTTTTACATGAATTTTTGTTGGGGTATAGTTGCTTTACAATGTTGTATTTCTGATGTACAGCAGAGTGAATCAGCTGTATGTGTACATACATCCCACTTTTTTGGATTTCCTCCCCATTTAGATCACCACAGAGCCCTGGGCAGAGTTCCCCGTGCTGGGCAGTAGGTCCT